CAAACTTCCATGGAGATTTTTTAAATTCTTAATAATTATTCCTTCAATAATATTTTGTTGCAAATTTAAAGACAGAATTTGACTTCTCTATATTTTTAAAATAGTTAATTAGCAGCAATGTAGGGTCAATTATTTGTGGACAAGGATTGCCATTTAGACTTTAGCACAATCAATACTTAAAGTTATGAGTCATTTTATGAGAACGAACTAGAATGGATTATTTTCGTGTTCTGAATTTCTAAATTAGCAAAACAAGATCATTGACTGTGGATGAACTTTTACATACACTGACAGGAATTTAGACAGGCTGCTTTCTACCACAACACATAGAGTTCTTCAGAAAAAGTCTGGACCTCTGTCTATGCAGGTTAAGATTTTACTACGATTAAATTTAACACGCCCAGAAGGAATATTTAGAAGTGATCGGAAGAAAGTAATTTTTTAATCCAAAAGGTCAAATCTATCAATTTGATACAAAGGCTGAAATGTATCATTAACATCTCTGCTGTGTTGCAGATAATCAGAAACATTCATGGTGCAGTGCCTTCTTGTAAGTGCGAAAAACCCAAAAGGTTTTTTGGCCTGAGTGGCTTCAGTTTTATTTTGGATGTTTAGTTTATGTTAATTTAGTTGTAAAGAAAACATTTTCACAATGACAGTATTTATTCGTATTATATAACAACCTCTCCACTGATTCTAATCTTAAACATGACTTTGCTGTAAACAGTTGATAGAATATGTAGAAATTCATGTAATCTGCAATATCTGAATTAGGATCCTGTGCACTATATCTTTATCAGCTGACTCTGTGAACTCTGGTATCTCAAAGTAAAACAGATAAGGGATGAACAAAAATTTCTCTTGCTCTGCCACAGGGATAAGATTTCAGTGTGAGAATCTGATGTTAATACTGACATGTAATGTGCAGCATTTTAGGACCATTCTGCTTTTAACTATGTTAAGCTTTGTACAATCACATCCATTCAACATTAACTATTAAGTTGTTTCAGCAAGAAAACTACAAATCAAGACACTTATTTGAGACAATATACAAATATGGCTATCACAATATTTTAATGGTTAATTGGTGCAGTGAAAAGGACTTTAACACATAAAGTATGTGAAGAAACAGGCCTGAATCGGGTACAAGCTTTACCTCTAGCACTTATGTACATGCGCCGCCGTCAAAGAAATAACCTCAGTCCTTTTGAAATCCTTTTTGCAGGTCCACCAAATATGGGAATGGGACCACCCAACCGCCCAGGAGGAGAGACCACACTTTGTGATGAAAAAATGCTTAACTACTGTGTTTCTCTTACAGAACAACTGAAAACCATCAGACAGCAGGTCCAAGGAGGCCAACCTGCGCCGGCTTCTAAACCCTTGCATGATTTACAGCCAGGAGATTTTGTGTTTATTAAAAATTTCAGGAGGAAGAATTGGAGAGCCAAGAGGTGGACAGGACCATTTCAAGTGTTGCTTATTACCCACACCGCCATCAAGGTTGCTGAAAAAAACCACCTGGGTCCACATCAGCCATTGTAAGAAGTTGATGGGAAGGCCCCCGGAGACAGAACAAGAGCCAAACCGAGTGGCTCCGTCGAGCATCTCAGGCTAATCTGAGCTGCCAACTTTCGGCCCACTCAGTAGATCACTAGCATCTGGCTGAGGCAGCATTAAGAACATGGCCAGGATGACACAACACTGTACCAGAATGCCCACATGGATAAGGGATGCCATACTATGCTGGCATTTCTTCCTGGGATGTGAAGCGATTGTGCTGTTTCTCTGGTACCTGCTCCCGGTCCAGAGTAATACCAAAGAAAAAGGACAGACAGTCAACGAGACACGGACAAATCACACAAATGAAACTCATGAATGGAACAAATGAAACTACTAACCAGTGAAATTTGTTTCAGGATGTTTATTCTGCACAATGTCTATCAATAGCATTCTATATATTTCAGCTTTTTTCTTTTACTTATATTTTGAAATATTACTCTTATATTTACCATTAAGGTGGAAGGTATTTTAACTGTAATCAGAAAACAATTTTTGCTAGATTTTTGTTGATCCTGTGGAGGAACAAAAAGGGAGGAATTGTGAAGTAATTTCTTTTAACAATTTTATTTATATTTTACTCATTTAACATGAGTATTGTTCAGTCTTTAAAGTATGTAGGCCAAAAACTAGTCAGGTTTCCTGCTGACCTCTCCCTACAGCAGACTAAATGTCTTACCACAGGGTCCAAAGCAAGGCGCCAGTGTTTGTTAACTGATAACAATAAATAGGTTAGGTAATTATAACGAGATGGAATAAACACTAAGGTTTAACAAATTCCTTCATTAAATGTCAGAAACTCGGGCTACGTGCTGAGTGCACATAGAAGGTCTGGCAATGTTCCTGTTATGCAAAATTGTTCCATTCGGAAACCTGATTTTTGAAATCTCACCTATTTTGGACAAAGAAGATGTTTTCCATCTAAGCAATTAACTGACCCTTCAGTAAGGATGATGTTGCATTCTCCCTCCTCTGTTAAGAGTGATTGAGCAAAAAACCTGTTCAACTGGATCTGGGCCAGGTAGTATAGAGAGTCCTATATATTGTGAGAGCTTGCAGCTCCAAGTCAGAACTCATTGCAGGTACAGCTGATGTGTTGTGGTTGCTGCATGTTCTCCGTTTGCAAACGACAGAATAAGGATTTTTGCTCTTTGCCATTTGCCAGAGTCTCAAGCCTGATCTGTTCCACACAGATTAGATTTTTTCCACACTTGCACATTCTAAAACCCTTTGCACAAGACTTTGATGATGACTGTAACTAGAAATTGTCCCTTTCAGATTGATTATTGAAAGAGTCTAAAAAGTCTAAAGTTGAAGAGTCTTTAAGTTTAACTTAAAGACTCTTAACCCTAACCCTCACCTTACCCTACCTCTAAAACACACTTCAACAAATACTCTGACAAGGTGATGTAAATGTTTTTTTTTGTTTTTTTATAGGCAGATACGTTTGTGCTTTCAAACAATTCCAAATATTCCTAAAGACCTGTTAAAGGAGTACAAGGCAAATCCTTTGATGCAAATCGGAGGCTATTTTAAGAGAGGGAACACACTGTTCCCATTTATGATCAATGCCTGCTGGCTGTCACTTCAATAAAAGCCTTTTGAGAACATGTGAACACAGAGCACTAAAAGCATTTAGGAAATGTTTACCAGTCACTTTGAGCTATCTCTCTTGTGATGAGGCCTTTGCAAACTACAGTATTCACTCAACTCTCAAAACTGGATTAGTCCTCTCGATGTAAGTAAATCTGAATATGCACATCCAATGTGCACATTGTTTGTAACTGCATTTACAAACAATGTTTTTGTTAGCGTTAGGTGCTTGGATGACATAGCAGACAAGTTCAACAAGGACATGACGTCTTTTCTTTTTTGGTGATTTGCAAATGTGGAGAGAAAAATATTGAAGAAGTGGGAAAACGTTTTACCCTTCAGCCTGCCTGCTCTTACAGTCCCTCACTTTAATTTTATTTTTTTAAATCTGACTTTGCAAATCAAACATGGCAGGTGCATGATACAACTCTTATCCATGTCTGGCATTATATATTGGAGCATCTATGTTTACATAGGAACAAGTTGTCCTGTTTTTATGTAAGGAAATTTTTTCATGAGTAAATCATCAAATGGAAACTGTATTTTCACTTTTACGTAGGCTAATAAAATTTGTTTTGTGCTCTGAAACATAAGAGTGACATACAACACCCAAACAGAAACAGACGTCATCTAAATGAGGATACAAAGTGTTTTCCAAATACACTCCACTACAATTCCTTGCTAAAAAGAAGAAACCATGTCAATATTCTTGTGACCCAGATAATCCTATTAGCTTCATGTGAACATTTCAGAAACATAGAAAAACCCTGCATTGACTGATGTGATTGTCTTTCCTTATTTAAATCATTGGCGTTATGAAAGCCCCCAGGCAGTGTCAGCAGAAGCAGCTGAAGCATTAGACAGCTCCCACCTGTTCCTGTAACTTTAAATGGTGCTGCGCCAGCACCATGGACAGAGTTTGGCTCCTGAGGCAAAATGTGGTGTTTGTGTTTCGTCACTTTGGATAATAATTAATTTTTAAAGACATACATGTCTTCAATCCCATATCACTTCTTCTGATTGTGTTATCAATATGACTGGCTCTTGGCAACTGAGAAAAAAAAGAAAGAAAAGAAATCCACAACAAACAGGGTGAACCTACCAGTTACCATAGAAAGACTTTCCTCAACTCCGTCATCTCAGGATGACAAACCAGCGATGCAGAGCATTGTCATGGCTGCTTAAAGCATTGCAAAGCACAGTGTGCGTGCGAACACTCTAATTGTTTTCAGTGTTGAAAGCAGCCAGCCCATGGCTTTGTTCAGGCCTGTCAGGGAAGCATGGCTGCAGGGGACCTCTACAAAGAAGAGCCCAAGTATGTAAAGAATGACCTGAAATGCAGTCAAACAAAGGCAACCTACGACTTAAAAATAGATGCTCTTTAACACTCAGCTGCTGTTGTTTGTCTTTGCGGCCTGATCAGTCAGAAAAACCCCGTCTCGGTGCACGACAGCTGTTTTTGTTTTGAGCCGACCTCCTTGCATATTCAGGTGCACTCGCACAGTGTGCAGTGGAAAGCAATCAAAGAAAAACGCAGGGCGACAGGGTATTTCTGTGCTTCCCTGACTTATAAATCGCAGCATTCTTTCCACAGATCCCTGTGATAACACGGCCCTTGTCGCCTCTGAATAGCAGGTAAACTCATCACTGATGTGAAGCGGTAAATTCCTGAGTCATTCACCCATGCTAGGTCTCCTTTTGAACCCAGAAAAGTGTTTGCTTGACACACAATTGAATCACACATGTTCCTCTAATAGGATTTTGTGTTCCTTTGAATTTCTCCTCTCATGAGTTACTTTATTTACTTTGGCATAGAAAACAAAATTGTAGGGTTTTTTTTGCTTGTTTTTATTGATCTTTTAATGATGCTTTACAGTTATAAGTTTCATTTACCAAAACAAACAAGAATCAATTCCCTTAAGCAATCAGTCAAATGTTAAAGGCCATTTGACATTATATTCAATCAATCAATCAGTTTATCCATCCGATTTAACAAATTTTTATGTATATAATCTTGAAATTAAAGATTAAGTAAAAACAACAACAAAAAAAACATGCAAGTTTCATATTTCCGTGCTTGTATTTGCACTTGCGTTCTCTTTCTTCGGGCCTGTGACTCAGTCGCTTCAGCTCCCATAGACTTCTCAAAATAACCCGGTTGGATCTCCACCTCTCTTGATCCTCCACTTCTGTTTCCAGCGTGTACCTGTAGACCTCGGGCATGTATTTCCAGCTTTCGATTAAACAGAATAACACGTGGCCTTCCCGAATCGAACACATCCCTTAGCGACCTCTCTGCTGGAGGAGTGGAATTTGTTCAGGTGCTCGCCTTCTGCTCCTTTCTTTCTTTCTTTCTTTCTTTCTTGCTGCTTCTGCAGCTTGCCCGTTCATCACACGTTCTCCCTCTTAGCTTGGGATAACTGCTGTCCACCTGCACGCCCTGTGTCTACTTCCTGCTTTGATTTATTGGATGCCGTTCTGAAAGAGAGGAGAAGTCAGAGAGTCAAATAGTGATCAGACCAGAAAAAAAAAAGATGTCACTTCTTCTGTTTTTTTTTTATTGATAGTTTCTCAATCTCACCTCAAGATGTGAAGCATGTCAAGCTGAAACTTCTTCACAGACTGGATCTCATTACTGCAGACAAGGAAACAGAAATGTCAGCCAAATACAAAGTGCAATTCTCCCGTCTTTACAGGACACCCAGCAAAACGGCATCATTTTTGAGGTTTAAAATGTCAATGTATCACAATTTATCTACACCGGAAACAGCGCCTAGCAAAAGTCTATCACACACATTGAACCTTTTGCATGTTGTGTGGCCAAGCTGGCATCACTTAAGCAGATAGTAGAGGAGCTGCAGAAATCCACAGCTCAGGTGGTAGAATCTGTTGCCTGGACAATGACTCGCTCCAGATTCCATAAATCTTTCCTTCACAGGAGAAGATGATCTCCTCAGAGGAGACCAGATTAAACCTTTTGGTTTACAGGAGCAATATTATGTTTGTGAAACGAAAACCAGCACCGCACCTCGCTCTGAATGCTCTCATTATGATGAAAGTGAGGCAGCATCATTATATAGAGGTTCTTGTCTTCAGCCAAGACAGGAAAACTGATTAGAGCCGATTTGGCGATTGATGGAGGTAAATACAAAGGAAGCTTGGAAGAAAATCTGGAAAAGGCTTGAAACTCAGCCTCGCTTTGCAGCAAGAAAATCATATCTTCATTTTCAGCAGCTCATGGATGCCTGTCACCCTATGAGGCTTTCATAAGCATATTGCACCATTTTCTACCTTGTGCCTGTCTATCATGTAAGATCCCAATAAATCGCATTGAAGTTTGTGGCTGCAGCATGAAAAAGAAACTGCTAAATGTTTAAATGATGCAAAAACCTTTGCAAGGCCCTGCATGACTCTGCTCGCTGTCTGCTTGGTTTCAAAGTGCGTACAGTACAGTACAGTCATTTCTGGGGAATGTGACTGAAGGTTTCAGAGCCTCCCACACACGTACTTCCTCAGGGCAAATCCAAATCAAACGTTTGCAGACTTTATGTCTGCACTCAGTCAGGACTGTCTTGATGCTCACACCTGTAGACAGGTAGAACATGTGAGGCACTTTTGGCCAAATATAGAACAAGCTTCTGTTTGCACCTCACCACTCCCGGTCCTTCTTTCTGCTAACTACGAGTGCAGTTTGTTTCCTTCTAGCTGATGAATGCGTGGAGACCCGACTCACCGGAAATGGCAGAAATCGGTGCAGGTCTTGTCGTTGAGCCGGGCACAGGTGCAGCGCCCAGCAGACCTTTTGCGTCGCCTCAAGCCTCCGCCTAGGCCATAAATCGTTGTCTTACTGCAGATTCAAAGACAACCTCAGTCACATAAACATTCTCCAGACTTTGTTCTCTGTTACTTTGCAGCTGCCTTGTTTAATGGTTCAGCAATAATGATAGGAGGGTCAGTCAGAGGTTTCTGGGCTCAGAGTTAGAAGGTCTAGACTGTTTTGATATTTAATCCTAGTAGTTCAAACAATGTTGTGAGTCTTTGGAAGTCTAGATAAAAAAACAAAAACAAAACTGCTGTATCTACTGAATGTGCCCTCTGTAGCCCACCTGGGTGTGTTGACCCAGATGACGTCCAGGTGACAGAAGTAGTGGCACTCAGTGTCCAGCAGCTCGCTGCAGGAGCAGCGCTTGGTCCTCACCCGGTGAGTCTGCACGCCGTCGACGGCTTCTGGGTCTGACTGTTTCACAACCGGGAGACCCAAACCTGAAGATTTCAGACGAAACCAGAGAGGCTGAGCAAACACAACTGAAAGATAATTCACATTTCACTATAGGGTAGCTTTAATACATTTTATTTTGAGTTATTTTACCATAAGCGTTTAATGGATGAGACATTTAGAATTTTTTTTCTTTCACAAAATAACTTAAATTAGAGCTTCTTTTTTCTTTCTTTCTCTAAATATTGCAGTGAACCACTTTATGAAAAAGAAAGAATATTAACATTTCCGCTACTGTTTAATTCTAAAAAGGCATTGTGAACTGAAAAACAAATTCAAACAAAAATCAGATTAAAAACTATGAACTTCATAAAAAGTAGAAATAAGTTGAAAATGAACATGTCAACGATTAAAATCAAAAACATGTTCAGGTGTTAGTTTGGTTTTTGATTGTGTTTCAGATTCTTTAAGATGTCATTGTCATTTAAAAGTCATATTTGAGGCGACATTTCTCATGTATTGATCTATAAAGCTTTTACTGTTGAAGGTGTGGTGGAGATGAGTTTGCAAAAATGAAAAAAAATGCTGCATCATGATTTCGCAATGTCTTGTGAGTGCTTTAAAGTTTGATTGTTGCTTTTTAGCAGTCTTGTAAATATACCAAAAATATATGTTTTGAATATATATATTTTTTTAATTAAGCTTGCTCTAAAAAACGTGGCTTGGTAAAAATGTTTGTTTTGGAAAATCGAAAGAGCAGCTGCAAATGAACGACAATATATCTATACTACAGTGAATATAAATGAATGTCAAATTCATACCAAAACTGGATTAAATTATTTTCTAAATGAAACCATTTTTAAATGTGAAATGTAAGAAGAAGAAAACTCACCGTCTTGAACAGAGACCCAAAGAGTGACCAGCAGGAGAAGGTTGCTGTGAGATGGCATGGCTGATGCAGTGTGGATGAGCCTCTGCAGAGAGAAACTACTATATGCTCACTTGTTGCTGCTGCTGCTGCTGCTCTGCTTGTTTTACTGCTGCTGTCTAAACTTTATACCTCTCCTCCTCTGTGATGTGACGACACAAGCTCCCCGCCCCCTCCTCCTGTGGCGGCCACATTCGACCCCTTGGCATTCAATCCTGCAACACATTCCAGGAATGTCTGCGGCTTTCAGGCCTCTGAGTGGCACAGATGAATATCAGCTGTCCAGTGACGTTTACGACTGTAGGTGGATTGAGGAATTATCTTGGCAGGGAAGTAATGGGGAAATTAACATGAGATTACTGTACAGTGATGATATGATCTGAAAACCATGTGGAGGCACCGTGGCTGATGGAGGCAGGTGGAGGAAGAGAACAGAGGAAGGACGTTCTGTAACAGAAAAACGTCAAATTAGGGATATTTTTCTGAAGACAAGATTCTGAAGCAATCATTTCTAATGAGGTACATATTATGCAAACATTTAGATAAGCATCAAGTACAGTAAAAATATATTCATATTAGTTAAATTGAAAAGCTTTAAAAGAATTAAGATATATGTGGTTGTTTGTGGTGCAATTTACACATGTTTATCTTACTAAAGTTTGTTCATTATATATTGATGCTGCAGTTATTATATTTCATTTAATTGCTTTTGAGGCATAATTTAAATAAATGTTATTTTTGTAAACAACGTAACTTGACATCACATACTGGAGAATAGTACACAAGCTGCAGCAATAATAAACCTGACAAAACTATAATGGAAATATTATGACTTCACAGGCAACAATTTGTTCATCAATTTGCTCAACAATTTGCTCTGTTAATTAGGAAAGTCCAAATCTCAATATAACAGGCAATTTAACTACATTTGCCTGAACTAATCCATCCATCCATAGTAGACAGTGACATATAAGATGACTAATCCAAGCGGGGATCAGGGATCCTGGTCATGTCACACCCACATGACCTGCGGAGACAGTTCAGCCATGGCACATTCACGCCGATAGGCAAATGCCAGCCCTCACACGGAAACACAGGGAATAAATGTACAGATGTGACGTGCAGATACATCCGCAATGATACTCTTTTCCCAAAAGATTAGCGCACTGGATTTTCTGAGGAGAATGGGTGAAGAGTTGAACTTGTAACCCGAAGCAGTCCTTATTCTTGTTTATTGAATACTAAAATGTTTGTTTGGAATTTTTAAATGAATTAGAAAAAGGATTGAAATAACTTTGACCCTGCATTGGTAATAACCTTTGACCCTGCATTGGTAATAACCTTTGACCCTGCATTGGTAATAACCTTTGACCCTGCATTGGTAGCTGCTAACACATACTCAAGTGTTTTAGACAGACAGACACCTAAACCAGTCCCTCCATCCACAGTGACGGATAGAAGCTTTATTATTGTGAAGCAAAAAGTAATATATATTTTTGCGTTACTGGAATGTAAAACATTTTCACTCATTAATCGTCTGAGAAACGCTGTAGATGGCTTTACTGTGGCAGAATGGAATAAAGTAGAATTAGCAATAAGAACAATGAATTATGACTTAGATGTTATAAACGTACATTTATACTGAATTTGATCAACAAAATTTTAAATATTACCATGGCACCCTCAATCTGAGCCATCAGTAAAGGGTTAAAATATTGAGTTGTTGTTATCTAAGCTGCTTTATAAACCAGTAATAAACAGTTGTAAAACATGTATCAGTGAGTTTTATCATTCTGCTGCAGAACTACAATTTGACTTAACCTTTGACCTTATCTCTTACCACTGTAATAATTTATTATAATTTCCTACAATAAAATGGCTTTTAGATCCTTTAAATTGTTATTAGTAATGATTAAGTTACTATTTATTGATCATTTATAAGGGGAATCTTATTCTACTGTGTTAACAAGGCTTTCATTCTTGATGATCTTCAACCTCTCATTAACTCACCTTCGTGGTTATGTGATCTTTGCACTGTAGTTTGGTTTGCATGATCTGATCGGTCATCAGATCATCTTTTGACCTCCCGTCAATAAACTTAAATAATGTGCATGTGCAAGCTTTTCATAACCTCTGTCGTGCTGTGCTGCTAAACAACGTTCTTCATGACGTAGGTGAATCAAAACTACTGCTGCTGCTGATTTTGTGTCAATATTTAATAGTTAAGTGACTTGCTCAAATTCCTGGGCTTCATGTTCGTAACGCTGAAAACAATATGTACACTTGAGTGTAAGTGCACTTGAATTTGGATGACTCAGCGTGACAAATGATATTTTAGGTGTGCTGATGTTTCTCAAACAAACCCTGTGAATGTTGTCCACCATAAAAACCTGAACTTTGTCGGAACTTATTTACAGAGGAATCCGACGGCTGACCCACTTGGCCCGGAAACACTCTGGATTTTATAACAGGTTATTTAAGCTGGTGTGGACTCTGTTTATCTCAGAGCTGAAATTAAGGTAATTGGAGCACAATGTGGCTCAGGTGAGTCTGTAATAATGCCTGTTTGCATATATGAGGTACTAGAGATAGATCTGAGGTTAACAATATCAGGTGTATACACGTTGCAGGCTCATCCTCATTTTACATCAATCTGTGAACCTGCAAAATGACAATATTTTATTTGCAGTTGTTTTTTCCAAAAAAGCCCTTTAAATTGAAATAAAAAAAGCTTTAATTTATTGACTACAATATATATATCATCACTGTAATTAATTCTTTTTAACTCTCAAAATATGAAAAAGAGAAATGTGGGTATATAATCTGTCAGGCTAAGTGTTTTTAATGTGAGAGGTGGGGCTGGGCAGCCATTGGAAGGCACTGTAGTTGTAGAATGAAACTCAATAAAGCAAAAAAAGAAAAGTTACTGAAAGAAGTGATGCTTTTTCCTTTATTTTTCCATCCCTCTTTCACATTTTCAACAATAAGGTCACCCAGAGTTCTGTTTCCTTCAAAAGCCATTCAAGGGAAGGTAGTTTTTGCATCTCCTGGACTTTATTTTCCATTTTTAATTAACGACCAGGAAAGATGCTTTTTATCAAAAAGGTTGCAAATCTCTGTCCTATACCCAATTAACCACATTAAATGAATGATACTTCATATATTATGTTAAGTAGCTAATCAGAAGAAGGCTCTCTGAGTACAGACCAATCAGTGGATGGCAGGAAGTTTGGTGTGCCAAATCCTGCTTTGGTGGGTTATACTTAAATATTTCAGATAAACAAATTTTAGCTCGCAAAGAATAACCAAGCAGGTTTATTCATAACAAATGAAGAAACCTGCTTACCTCTGTACAATTAATTAACTAATTAATCCTATTTTTTGTGGTTTAATTTCCCCCAAAGATCTGAAAAAGCAAATAAATTGAAGATTACATTCTAACATCCCTTACTTACATCTGTCAGGTAGGGAAGAGTTACAACTTTTTTTTTACCATTTCCGAGGTTTTAGGAGTGAACTACAATACAGTTCTTTTGAACAAAAGGAGAGAACATGAAGTACGTTGAATCTTTCCGGGACAGGTCGATCCACCAAAGGAACTTCAGAAGCACAATGACGACTCATCTGTTAGATCACAGGAATGTGCAGGTAAACCAGGAGATAAACAGGTTTTCCACACAAGACCAGGTTGGTGTGGGTTGTTTTTTTTCCCCTTATCTTATTAAATGACTGTTTGAAAGCTGCTTCTTTACATTTACTTGAGTTATCTTTAGTCTGATCATAGAATCTGATTATACTGTATAAATTGAAACATTGGGGTTTGGCAAAGAAACAAAAACAGAAACCTTTTTAAAATCCCTGTGGATTAATAAGTCTAATCGTCCAATAAACAACAATCAAGTTAGTGAAACAAATTACTACATTGTCCACAGATTGTCTGATCCTTTATTGTGTTTTTGTTTACAGCTTTTAAAGTGAAGTTTGCAGCAAAAATTATCAGATGTTTGAAATATTTTGTCCAATCTTCTTTCTGTATTTAAACACTTGTATTTCAAAATTGACTGTGAGAAATAAAAATAAAAAAAGGCACAATCTCATTGAAGCCCAGTGCATTTTTTTTTTATTATTGTTATTATTATCATTATTATTTTTTTAACAACTACAAATTTTGCTGAGAAATCTGCAGGGCACTTGATCCTCTGGTACCAGCCAAATTCATTCATATCTCATCTTCACCACCAGTTCAAGTTATAAGAACATGATTAAGAAGTCAAACAGATGTAACAAAAAAGTTTTCCCTCCTCCCCCATAATAAAAATAAAAATATTAAGGATCAATGTCATCAAATAAAAATAAATAAGGAGCATTCTCCCTTGTACAGACACATAATCTGAAGCATTCAGTAATAAAAATAAAACGTCAGTGCATTTCTTTTGACACGTGTCAGCCGCTCCTTAGGTTTTCCCATGATTTGACTAGTTACCTTGGTGATAAAGCAATGGCCCTCAGAACAAAAACATTAAATATTAACCCTCTATGACGACGTAAAAAATGATAAAACTGAATTCACAGCCTTCTCTTTGTGTAAGTTTACATTTAAAATAACACAAAAATGGACAGAAAAGGCACAAGAAACTACAATTTGAGTAATACTGAACAACCTAAAAGAAAATTGTCTTTTTATTTTAATAATAATGAAATATTTTGGTCATTTACAAATGTATTATAAATTTTTTTACGCATATTCAAATAGATATTGACATTAGGAGTATCTAATTAGATACAGTATATATATATATATTTTGTATATATTTATAGAGATTTACGGGAACAATGTTTTCATACAGAAAAAGTGCATTTTTATAAACAAACCTGAATATTGCCAGAGACCAAACATTTAAATTAGCAATAGTATTGAAATCTGTATATAAAAAAACAAAGCAATAATAATAATCGTAAAACAAGACTAGTGTAGCAACCAATAAACCAAAATTGGATGCGAGATGCATCAAGGTGTCGACACTGTTAAGTGCTCTGTTCTGTTGTGGTCGAGTCTTCTTGACCGTCTCCCTCCACCGCATCACCGCTTGACGCCGGATCGTCCTGCTCTGGTGCGATTCCTATGGCACGATAAGCTACTGGGGCTGCTGTTCCGAGGCTGGACGCTCCAGTTTGACTGTCTCTAGCGCCACCTTCCCTGGTCTCTGTGGCAGACCCGTGGGGGCGGACGGAGCTGCGTGAGCTGCCATATTGCTTTGAGTC